ACACTGGTACAGATAGGAACTGGAAACACAGGGAATCCAGAACTGATGATCCCTAGGGACCAGAGCTGAGAGTAGCAATACTGGGTAGAAGAAAGGTGGGGTAAAAAGGGGGAACCGATTGCAAGGATCTATATATAATCTCCTCTCTGGAGGATGGAAAACAGAAAAGTGGGTGAAGGGAGACGTTGGACAGTGTAAGATATGACAAAATAATAACAAATTATCAAGGGTTCATGAGGCAGGGGGTAACGGGGAGGGAGGGGAAAAATGAGGAACTGATGCCAAGGGCTGAAGTAGAAAGCAAATGTTTTTGAGAATGATGGCAACAAATGTACCAATGTGCTTGACACAATGGATGGATGTATGGATTACTTATTTCTTAATCATTGCATCTGCCCCACATTTGCTCACCTGCCAATGATGCAACTCACACAGCAAACTAGAGACGTCTCGCAATGTGATTTGTACAAAATACTCACTTTTCCCGTGGGACGTCCACCTCGTGTGCTCTTTTGTGTCCTCAGCCATAGGCAGACCTTGTGGAGCCAGGACTGGTATGCATTACCTTCACTGATTTCCCACTGAAGCTCTGATGTTTTCATTCCCAGCCAGATACAACACTGATCTTTTACTGCCACCAGTGTCAGGACCACCTTTGGCTTACAGTTGGGGGCTTTCCGTGTTCTGTCGCTGCTAGTTCCCTGAAGGAACTCATTCTAAGAGGACTTGGTCTCAAAGGGAGGAGAACAATCACTATTGGCTTCGTCTGCCGCCACATGAACAAGATACTTCACCCATACTTCTTCCCCAGCAAAGGAAGCCGTTAGAAAGGCGCCCCCCCCCCCTCCGAATGAAAGGGGTACATATCCAGGGTCACTCAGCATGACTTTTGTTTTTTTCCCACAGAGCAAAAGCCGCATGTTCCGGGTACAGTTTAGTGGTGAGTCAAAGGAGCAGGCACTGGCACGCTGCTGCAGCTGTGTGCAAAGCCTGGCCCAATACATCACCGTCCAAGTCCCTGAAGGAATCGTCCAGGAGCTCCGGCCACCCAAGGCAGGTGAAAGCCAAGGGCAGGACTGGGTGGAGAGTGCCCCGCAGCAGCCTGGGGTGAGTAGGTGGCTGTACCTGCTGTACAAGAAACAGGACTGTGTAATGTACCCCAGGGGCCAACATCAAAATGGAATTGAGCGAGTCCATTGAGTTTGCAGTTCGAAAGATATTTAATGCTGGCTGAGTTATTTTAATTGAAGGCACAATCCTCACTGTGCCTTCCATTATCCCAGAAAGCCTTGGTGTGTAGCAGGTTACACATTGGGCTGCTAACTACACACGGTCAGCAGTTCAAAACCACCAGTTGCCTCTTGGGAGAAAGATGAGACTTTGTGTTCCCCTAAAGATTTACAGTCTTGGAAACCCACAGGAGCAGTTCTCCTCATTTAAGGTTACTGGGAACAGTCATTTACAGAGTCTGATCCAAAGATGTCTCCCCAATAACCTTCTTAAGGGTCCACCAGGTCAAAGTTGTTTTCCAAAACATTGTTGTTTGCTGACACCGAACAATCCCATGTGACAGTCAGTACTGCCCGACAGACTTTCCAAGGCTGTCACTTTTGTGGCAGCAGGTCTTCCTCCTCTGGGTGGGTTTGAACCATCAACCTTTCGGTCTGCAGCTGAGTACTTACCCATTGCAAAACCAGGGCTCCTTTTCCAAATACGATTGAGGCATCATTTGCCCTTCTCACTTGGTGGGCATTTGCACTGATTGCATAAAAGCAGTAGTGGACAAAACTGCTGTCACCATCGCACTAGTCAACGCAGGGCACCACACCATGCTGCTAATTCATTGTATTTTCCCTCGGTCACCAAACTAGAAGGCGCTGCATACTGAAGTATGACAGCGGTCTCACTGTGTGACACAGAGATGTGAACTGACCCAGCCGCCTCCCCCGCTCCCACTAGAACGCCATTATTACTTCAAAGAACCGACGACGGTCTCCTCAGATTTGGGTATTTGGTGGACATTTTATTGAAAATGTCGAAATAATGCAATCACATCAGGAAAGCAATTGGAAGTGTTTATTGACAATGATGAAATTTAAACTGTCAAGTGAAGATTAGAATTTTTAAAAACTTAAAAGACTTGACAGCTTCCTAACCCCAAAGACTTTTCTGACATTGACGTTAATGAAATGATTCCGCATTTGGATGATCTATATAGTTTTGTGGAAGAAAGAAGCCCAGGTGGCGATGTGGTTATGGATTGGGCTGCTGACTGCAAGGTCGGCAGTTTGAAAGCACCGGCTTCTTGGCAGGAGAAAAAGGGGGCTTCCTAGGGCTCCAGTCTCTGCAGGTCACAGAGGCAGTTCTCCTGTCCTGTAGGGTCACTAGAATCAGCCATCGACTCGATGGCAGTGTGTTTGGCTTTTGGTTTCTATTCCCATAAAGACTTAGTCTCAGAAACTCACAGGGGCAGTTAGTCCTACCGCGTCCTATACAGGCTTGCTATGAGCCCTACCATGTTCTCTACAGGGTTGCAAAAATCATTACATTTTCATTTGGCTTAATATATTTTTCAAGATGTTTTTGAAATAATAGGCTTATTATTTTTAGTAGTTTATTAGTACATTATTTTTAATTTTTAATGTAAATATTGATGATTGTACTCAAAAGCCATTTGAAAGGCCTCATTTCGTAAGGTATGAACAGGTCTTAAGAGCCAAAAGTTTAAGAATTGTTGCTATGGAATTGTCCCCAAGTACAGGTTCCTGCACCTCTTTGCTATTAATAAGAAAGCACCTGCCTCTGCCCTTGGAATGAATTGCAAGCTAACGTTTTTCCTGCCTTGAGTATGACATCACAAACATGACTTTCCACCACTGCGTCCTGTTGGTCCTCCTGTGTGCTGTGTTATCCCCATTTCATCCAAGGGGAGCATACATTCACACGAGCACACATCTGAGCAGGCCATCGTCTGTTCTTTGAAGCAATAATGGCGTTCTAGTGGGAGCGGGGGGTGGTGGCGGGGTGTGTGTGTGTGTGTGTGTGTGGAGAGAGAGAGATAGTTAGTTAGGGGTAAGGCAGATGTTGGTAAGCAGGGAACTGCCAGGATGGCTACCTTTCCAGATCGAGGCTCAGAGGCTCGGTTCCCAAATGTGGCTGACCACTGGGATCACCTGGGGGCTGGATAATCTGCACATCTCAGCCCCTCCCCGACGACATTCTGCGTCATTAGGTTGCAAGTAGAACCTTATTTGGTCTACCGCTCCTTTTTCAGAAAAAAGAACAAAAAATTACCCAGCACCCCCGACAACTAAAAATGTCTGCACTAAGGCCCGCAATCCAGGGTACAGTGGAGCTGCCTGTCTTCGCAGCCCCGGGATCATTCCAGTGTCCCCCAGGGGGCAGCATCACCCACTTTGGGAAACTAGCCAGCAGCCAGGGGCACGTGAGATGGAGCGTCTGAAGCTGTAAAGCAGAAGGCAAGACAAAGCCACCACTGTGTGGCCCGAGAACACACTGGTCTTCCTGATGATGCCAGGGGCACGCAGCCCCAGCTCTGCCCTCACCCCTGCGGTGCAAATCTGGCCACATGCGCCCTTCCTCCGGATCCATCCTGAGAGCTGCAGCCATGGCAAGCTCTGGTCACCCTGCAGCTCTCCACTGCTGACTGAGAAGACAGCTGGTTGCACCCCCCTCCGCTTCCCAGGAGAGGGGTACAACAAGCCTGCTTCATAAAGAACCCGGTGGGGGCAGTTCAACTCTGTCCCACAGGGTCACAGTGACTTGTAATCTGCGTGGCAGCAGCCGGTTTTTATACATACCTTTTGGTCTAAAATAGGTGTTCCCTTCTTTACAAGTAGAGATAATTCCATGGCTTTCTATTTCAAGTTCTTGAGTCATTTCCTGGCCTGCACGCTCGTCTTTAACTTTGCCTCAGCCTTGTAATTTTGCTAATTGTGGCCTAACCAGGTGTTTTTCCAACCTGAGGGCTTCTAAGGCAACTCAGCCCCCCCCTGGGAGGAGAGAGGATGAGTCCCTAGGAATGCTCTCCACTGCGCAAAGCAGCCAGAGCTTCCTTCTGCGAGGGTGAAGGGCTGTGGAACCCTTGGTTCCACCGACTAAGTGCTCAGCACCTGACTCCGGCAGCCCCTGTCATGTTGATCTTTCCAGCAGTTTGAGGCAGCCCGGCTGAGGGCAACTGCTAGATCTGCTCAGAGCCGGCTAGGGTCGGAGCAGAAACCCCGGCACGGCAGCAGGAGAGAGAACTGGAGCTCCTGTTCCCGAGAGCCCCTCAGCCTTGCACTCATTTTGACTTCCTGTTCTTCACAGGGTTTTCCTTCCTCTTGGTCCCCCACTGCGTTGGCTCATGCTTTCAGGGCTGTGCTACTGGCCATACCTACTAAGGCCTGTTCAGCCAGAACGGGCACCCTCCCTATGCAGGGCCTGCGTTTCTGCCTGTGCTCCATCCTTTGCTACACCTACTGTAGAGACCCTGCTTTCCTGCTGGGGAATGGTGCGCAGCCAGCCTGGGGCCAAAACACCTGCCGGGTCCTGGCGGGGAAGGAGCCATGGTGGGTGCTCAGAAGTGCCCGTCAGGTGGTGGCAGCTTAGTCCTTCATGGCCCCAGGTCCCATGCAGCTGCTCCTTCCCTCACCTGAGCGCGGCCTCCACGCTCACAAGGCCTTCAGCCTACTTCCCGCCTGCAAGCTGAGCCCAGCACCTACCTCACCCCAGTTCTCCCCGTGCTGTTCGCTTCAGATCTCACTGGTCTGTGGCTTCTTGCGGGCAGGACCTCTCTGCCCATCCCCTCCATTGCCTGTGTCTAATAGAAAAAAACAAACTCACAGCCACCCTGTAGGACAGAGTAGAACTGCCCCTGTGAGTTCCTGAAACTCTTTCAGGGGAGAAGACACCCTCAGACTCCTCCCACAGAGCAGCTGGTGGTTTTGAACTGCTGACCTTACAGGTAACCACCCTATCCGTAACCACAAAGCCACCAGAGTGCCTGGTCCTAGTGTAAGGTAGGCACACACTGGTGAGTGAATGGTCTACAAAAAATATTTACAGAACTCCTTTCCTCAGAAAACAAACTGGAATTTTAAAAAAATGTAACCATTTATGTGGTTACTTGATTGTAGGGGTTGTTTGTTGTTTCTTTTCTGTACTAAGCACAGATCATTACTTAAGTCATCGTTTTAGGGGGTGACAGATCATGGTTAGCAGACCCTTCACAGTGCCCACGAGCTGTTCCAGCGGCTTGCTGCTTGACTGTAGGTGCGGGCTGGGCTCTGCAGGGGGAGCACTCACTGCCTGTCAGACTGAACATCGGGGCCAGGCCCGGCGCCCTGCCCTGGACTCCCTTCGCGGGGTACCCAGAGGGACAGTCCAGGGAGAACCGGTGCAGACCGACAGGCAGCCGGGGGTTTTCACCAACCGCTGCTCTTCTCACGCAGGGGCAGGTGTTCCAGTCCCTCAGTGGGCTGTGTTCATGATTCTGCTCCGCCAGTGTCCTCATTGCTGTTTTCGCCTTCCCATCCTGCCAGACCCCAGCGCAGCTGCTGCCACCTGCGCCGAGATCACCAGGCTCAAGTGGCCCACGGGAGAGGACATCGGTGACCCGCTTAGCTCAGGTAGAGCCTGTGTATGTGCTTATCTCTGTCACAAAGTACAGTAGTTTCATGAGAACGTGTCCAGAATGTAAGATTTTTTGAAGGTCTTGAGAGAGTTTTGGTGAGAAACAGGCCAGGAAGGGTTGTGATTCAGACTCTAACACGTGGCCTCTTTTGATATGCCCGCAGTCTCTCCTGGCGTCAGAGGAGCTGCCCCTTGCCTATGGGCAGTCTGCCTGGGGCGCTGGCGATCTTGGCCCTTTCCTCCGCTCATGCCTTCTGGACCAGCATTTCCCAGCATTTGTAGAAGAGGTGGAGAAGGAACTAAAAAAGTTGACAGGGTTGAGAGATTAAAGTGCTGTGCACAGATGTAACAAGATACTAGAATAAAAAGCAATATTCCCAACACCTTTTATCGATGTTTTATTTTTTAAAAACAGATAAATTCACTTTTTTCTTTAATACATCATTGCACTTCAACAATTACACAAACACAAGTACATGCATCTAGAGTTCCGTACTGCATGAGAACCCTATTAGGATAGAAAATCTATAATCAACCATCCGGTAAATCAATGGGGGTAAATACAGTGTCAAACCAGGGAGAGATAGTCGCATAGAGTAAGTACCACCATGCTGTAACGTTTCAAGGGCATTTAAAACAAAAGGTAAATTATAAAAGTATGCCTTAATTCAATGTACAAGAATCAGGTTTAACATATCAGTGCAAAAGGATTTAAGAATTTACATGATTTAACAAGAAAAAATTAATCACTTAAAAAGCAATCATACATATATACTGCAATTCATTATATCCATTCAGTGGACTGTACCAGCGTCTTATTAAAGTCATAGGTTAAGCCCTTAAAATTATACATTTCAGTTTATATTACTCATCTGTATGTATCGGAACCGCACAATTTCCTCATTTGACAACATAGAATGAGGCGTGAATGTCAGCAGCTTAAAAATGAAACGAGCATTTAATTTTTGAATTTCTCCCACCCCCCAAAATATAAATATATATATATATTTATATACTGTATATATCTGTAGGTTTTGCTGTACTTTACAAAAATGTATCACTAGATGGCAGCAGTGCATTTGAGAGCTTTGCCAATTTAACAGCTGCATTAAGTAAAAAATGGCGCATGCATGATCTGATCCTCAGGGGACCTTTTCACGTCTATTTAAATATTTTAACAAAGGGGAGGGGAAGGCAACATTCACAGCACATCAAGCCCAAAATAGTTTACACCTTCTACACTGAAGCATGGCTTAGAATGTGTCTGGCGAGGTCACCCTTACAGGAGAGGCTAAATAAGGCATGCTTTAGACAGTCATTGTGGTGTTGCTCACTTGAAGGGGAAGAAAATGGAGTGATAGTGATAGAACCAACGAGGCCCAAGCATAAAACTTAGCAGGTCGTGTTGCCACCAGCTTCAGGAATCTAACCATCTGGAAAGAGAGAAGAGTCAGAAATTAGAGGGCAAGGTGCACTGTCATCTGGGGCCGCCTCGGAGGTGACATGTGAAACATAGCTCTGGTTCAAACAGCATGCTCAGGAACGTGGTGTGACATTCTGATCTCCATGTGCCCGATACCATGGCCTGCTATAGTACGGCCTTCCCCTTGACGGTAAAGTGAGCCCAGGTGGCCTCTGGGATTCACTCACCCAAGAAAGGTGGTGATTGCAGGGTTCACTCTCTTTAAAGGTCAGATGGAAGAGCAGTGCAGTGTGATCCGTGTGCCGAAATGGCATTCATACAAGTATGCCAAGCAACATGCCAAGAAAATGGTTCCCTTCCCAGCCACCAACTCTGGCAGACAGAACTCAGCGACGGTATCAGCTGCTGAGATGAAGGGAAGCTCTCCCAAGGGAACACCAACGACTGAAGAATTTGGTGACAAGGTCAGAAGCACATGCACGTTCAGATCTAAAGAAGGCTATATACTTACATTAGAAGCAGTACTTAATTTGTGTTTCTCTGGCGCAAGTTTTTATCTTTGTGATTGTTGGTGGAGTTGGTTTTCCTTTGGAGGGAAAATTGCATTACAAGAGTTAACCTCAGTCAGGAGCAACCATTTATTGAAAGTACAACACATGGAAATACAGGAGTCGTTCACTCATGTAGGTAGGAAATCGTTTGGAGGCATAAAAATATCCCTTATATAAAATACCTTCATTCACTCAGTAATAGGTCCTTTTGACTCCCAAGGCAGACAACCAACTCTAATCCAATTAATTACTAGAAAATTAAGACTAGAATAGATCTTCTCTCTGCTAAATACTGCTGCCCCCTTGGGACAGATGGAGAATCTCCTACTGGACTGGAGGAGGTCCCACTTCTCTTGGATCCCAGCACCTGCTCCAGGAGCAGGGTGAAGGATGTGCTGTCTTCCAACTTAACAGCTAACTCGAACAAATCCTACAACCTCCAATGATCCTTATTAATTTAAGCGTATAAAATACACAGAACATTTTTCCCCCTGGTACTCTAGTCTGTTGCCTGTTCTGGGACCCAAACAATCCCCATTCAGGTCACTGTCACTCTGAAGGCTGCAGGGCCACACACACTCATCATTAGCTCCCCAACATGCTCAGCTGCTCCAGGGGTTCAACAGCAGCACCAACCACCACAAACCGCTGGACAGTGTCCAGGAAAGTACTTACATCGGCCCAGCTGGTTCATCGTCTGCACAGTTGTTCCATTTTTAAAATCCGCCGAACGATGGAAGAAGAAGAAGAAAAGAGGAAGTTGTGACACTCTGGAAATGGGCTAACAGAACAGCAAACGGCAAACATGGCTATTCATAGCATTTGTTCAAGGCCATTCCATCTGGAAGTGCAAAACACTCATGGAGCTACTGCTAGAGTCAGGTTCGTAATGGCAGGTGTGTTGTTTCAATGGGTTTAGTTAACACTTGGAATGCGTGTCATGAAAAACTGCAACTGTAGTGGACAGATAGGCTATAAGATCTTATTCTCATCTTGTCCCCAAGTTCCAGTGGTTCACTCATAAGAGATGAGAAGACAAACCAACATTTCAGTTGTAAAATCCTGCTGTTTGTTTTCTTGTTGTGAAGACATGGCCCAGTCCTACAATTCAGAGAGCCTTTAGTCTGGAGAATCGGAGAGGAAGAGGGAGTCACGAAGGTCAAACCTACGTACTGGGGGGTGTTCTGTGACACACCAGAGAGAGGGCAGTGGTGACACCCCTCAGATAGAAAGGTTCACTGTATTCCCTGGCCAGAACCAGAACCCAAACCCAGAAGAGTCATGGGCCAGTTTTGTTTTTTAATCAAAAAGCTTGTGTTAACTGCATTGAGAAGCCATTTAAATGGTTTAACATTTTCTTTCTTGTTTCAACCAAGGGCAACTTGGTCCCCTTCAAACAGGGAAAGAAGCATGGGGTGGAGGGAGAGCCCCCTAGGGGCACAGGTAAGTTACATTTGATTTCTTTTGAATGTACAGGAGTCAGGTGGGCTAGGAGACCCAGAATGGTCACACTTCATGAGGGGCAGGTCGAAAACCTCTCAGCAGGATTCCACAAGGGGACTTGGTGCACATGAAGCAGTTATGGAGGCCACAGTCTCAGGGCAGCCATCTGCAGGAGCACACATCGGGAGGAATGTCTGTCAAAGGGAGACATTGCTCCACTGGCCCTTGGAGGCACGGAAAGGCAAAGCCACCGCCAGCACACACAGTGACGGGAGCAGGGGGGAACTTCAAAAGGAAAAAAAGAAAAGAAAAAAAACTAACCACAAACCAATGACTCATCAGTCAAAGCACAAGGCCAGTGTCCACAGAGCCCGATACTGACAACAACACACCAGAACAGGTACAGAGAACAAAGTTGGACTGTGGGACACCCACTACATCTGTGTGCTGCGCACGCAGCAGAGACACATGCCCAACCACTGTCCTCCCTCACCGCACCACGCTGCATCACTCGGCTATGTGCTCAGACCTCAGCCCTGGGGGCTGCATGGGCAAGGCCTGGAGCAAACAGTACGGGCACTGCTCTGGTTGCACCCCGAAACCACAGACTGCTGATGCGGGGCAGCAGATTTGGGAAACTGACCATTCTACTCCCAATAAAAGAAAAAGGCGGGGCAACTACAGAGGCCAAAGGGAGTCACGATAGCCAGGCAGGCCTTCCCCAAGCATGGCACTGCTGGCACGATCCAGGCCCTTCACACCGCAAGCGTCTCTCTGGGGCTGGGGGTGGGTGCCCCCCGTGTCTGTAAGGAATGCCATTTTCCAGCATAGCAAGCTGCCAGCGTGCCGAGGGTGGCCCAGCCCCTGTGAAATAGCCATGCCTGCAAGTGGGAGCGGCGGTGAGTCACACCAGTATCGCCTTCACCAGCGAATGGGCCCCTGCGTCTCCCCCACCCCGAAATCCACAAAGAACAAGGATAAGAGCTTGGGTCTCCCCACTACACAGTTCCCTGCAATACGACTTACAGGCCAGACAAAAAACAACTGGACCCCAACTGGGCAATCAGGAGTGAGGGAAAGAACAGAAAGAACTAGGGGGGTACAAAAACCAAAGGAAATGAGGATTAAACAGCAAACTGAAATCCAAATTAGTTGTGAGAGTGAATGGAGTAAACTTGAGGAAAAGTGTTAACATCATGAACTGTGCATCGGATAGACTGAAGCGGAGATTAAACAAACTCCAAAAGCATGCAGATCGCTCACTTACCACCATGTTTTAAGGGTGTGATGCAATTGGAGGGGAAAAAAAAGAAGTCACAGTAACCGACAGATATCAACATACCCCAAACCCTCAGGCCCAGAGAGCCAGCGGGCGCAATGTTGCCTACAGGCAGCACCGCCTCATCGAGTAGGGACTCTGAGCTGCTGGGTGGGCACAGGGGCCCTGAAGCCAAAACAACCACGAGCTGACTATCTCGTCAAAGCTGCTGCTTCATGAGGGCCTTAGTTGGGTCTGTCCTCCGTAGAGTAGCATTGAGCCCAAGAGAGATGAATGGTTACTTTCTTTTCAGTCCTAATGTATTTTCTTTATCTGGGAACTTGTTACCCAGGTGTGTGTGTGTGTGTGTGTACGCACACATACGTGCTGTGTCAAAGTGTCCAATTGTTTTGGCCAGCTAAGAATCTGGAATATTAGATTCACTCTTAATTCTAATGTGTCTGAAAGCTTGGCTGTATCAAGGCCATTTCCAAAACAACCTCCAAAAATCCTGCCATCAAGTCAACCCTGACTCACTGTGACCCTGTAAGACAGAGAGCAACTGCCCCTGTGGGTTTCTAGGATTAAAAATCCTTCAAGGAGCAGAAAGTCTGGTCTTTCTCCCAGGGAGACTTGATGGATTTGAACTACTGGCCTTATGGTGAACTGCCCAATTCATACCCCAACGTGCCATCAGGGTGCCTCAGGGCCCCTGAGAATGACCCAAATGTCTTCTCCACCATTGGGCTTTCCAGTCCCCCTCCTTGACTCTTCCTCAGGGTTCAAGTGACTCAGTTCAGTTGGCAGGAGCCAGCCCAGAAGGGGGTCCGTGCATAGATGCTGTCAGAGGGCTAGAAGGCACCAGGCATGGTAGCTTGGCCTATTCTCCCAGAGCACAGACAAATGGTGAGTCGGGGCAAAGCCCCCAGCTGTTCCAGGAAGCACTGAAGGTAACAGCGAAGGAGAGCCGAGCCACCGACGGGGTCTCAATCGGGCCACACCAGGCCAGGAACATAGGTGTGCGCGTTGCTCCCTTACAAAACAGCAGGGTAAACTCAGTGGGTAAAGTTTTAGATTGGGGCTTCTTAACCCAAACTCTTTTTCTATGAGAAACTGAAAAAGAATAATTGCTTCTAGTGGGACACGTAAATGAACCCAGCCTCCTTCCTAGGGGAGGAAGCGAACCACACTCAGAGGGCACACTATACAAATGCACTGTTTCATTCTTTGACTGCGGGGCTGAGCTAGCAAGAACTCAAAGACGGCCTCAAATGTGAATACCGTTGAGTTCTTGAAAGAAAAAAAGTTCCTGAGTCTGAAATAAACCCTAGTCTATCTTGATCATAAAGTACTTCTTTGGCAGAGAATACATGTCACTATTTTTTTTAATGTGTATTTTTAAAAATTCCCATTGCCCTAAGAGCATAAATAGCCAGCACAGGGCCACTAAAAAGTTGAAGGTGACAATTCATTGGCTCTAAAATGCCAATGTGCATTACATCTCCATTCATTCTAAAAAGTGTGCACATAGACATTTGCAGGAGGGAGGTGCTTATGGGAAGGCAGCGTGTCCTCACTGAGGTTGACCAAGGGAGGAGCGCGAGACCCACAGAGAACTCACAGGGCCTGGGAAGATGGGGCAGGGGCGATTTTTGAGAAAGGCTTCTGAACCAAGGAGCATGGAGGAAAACAGGCCTCTGCTTCCCTGGGCTGGTGGCTCCACTTGGGAAGGCAGCCAATGCTAGCCATTCCTCAAACGGATCCAGAATGCCTTCCACCCACCCTGGGCTACAGCACCTGAGAAGCCAAGGGGCAGGCAGCCTCATCTCAAAACTCAGAAGGCAGGCTGTGAAGTCCACCTTTGCCTTCTCCAACCTGACTCTGTTTCTCATCCTCTCTAGAGGGCAAGTCGAGGGCAGTGATGCTGAACAAAGCAACAGCGCACAAAAGAGTAAGAAGGCCTTTTGGGGAGTAAGGCCTAAGGGTGCCCGAAGAGCCAAGCTGAAAACACCAACAATAGGCAACTCTCCATTTGCTCTCTGGTCTAAATGCAGGCCCGCTTCACTTGAGCTGAGAGAGGAAGAGGACTAGATGTCAGAGAAGCTGCTCCGTGCACCTAGAGGGGAAGGACACACCATGGGCCCATGCCTATGCTGGAGCACACCAGCCACTCACTGAAGAGGCCCTGCTTCCTGTCCCCCAACCCCAACTGTCCGCTGAAACCCCTTCATGGTCCATGATGCTACTTGGCTTAATGTAGGCAAGGAGACTTTGGAGTTGCTAAGAGTAGGGAAGCAGCCACTGCCCTTGAGAGACTAAAGCCACTGGTACGCCTCTTAAAGAAGTGCCTGCCCCACTTAGTATGTGGGCAGGCCGGCCAGGATGCTGTGGTCCTGGGTCCCTACCACAAGACACAGATGACTCAGGGACAGGCTCTGGTGCCAGAGTAGAGTGGCACAAGCCCAGAGCTGTCGGGCGATTATCAGCAACCAGTCGGCTTCCACTGCACTCAGGGTACACTGAGGTAAGACACCCTCTCTCCAGTCTTAAGCTAGGCAGGGGGTGGGGCAGCGTGGACTGTAGGGGTTAGCCTTGGCTAGCTTCGTCTTCCATTGGACAGGCAGTTGTTAGCCACCTGCCACCAGTCTTCTCTGGGAAACAGAATAAAAACCCAAGAAGGAACCTTAAAACCTTCCAGAAGAAACGAGCCAAGGAGACTCACAGGCTGGATCGCCCCAGTGCCTGACAAGTGTCTGAGGCAGCGGTTCCCTCAAGGAGCGACACCAGGCCACCACGTGGCAAACACCTGGATACCTTCAATTTGCCTGAAAGGCCAGATGGCCTGGCTTCTAAGCTTGACTTGGAGTCTCCTCAAACTCAAGCTGCCTGATGATCTGTGTCGAAGGAGGACAGAGCTGAACAGAGAGAGGGATGGTTGCTGTTCCCCACAGGGGGCCTGAAGGGCAGGCAGAGCTGGGGTTTGAGAAGACCCAAAACAGAGAGGCAGACTCAGTTAGAATGGAAAACAATCTTGAGAAGTAGTTTAAGAATTTTTCATTTTGGATTGAATCCCACGCCAAGGAGCCAAGCCCAACATCAGAGCGAGTTTGTGGGGAACCTTACCGTCGGGAACCTCGTCGGGCCGCTTCCTCTTCTCATACACAATGATGATCACCACGAGGATGATGATTTCGGCCAGGATGCCCAAGAAAGGCCAGAGTGGGGCCAGGTGGCTTCGTACTCTGAGGATGGTGACCACGGAGTCGGAGCCAATGGAGTTGGTGGCATTACACAAGTACTCGCCAGGGTCTTCTGTGATGTGGAGGTTCACAATGTTCAGCTCGGTGTAATTTTCCTTGTTGATGATGAAAAAGCGTCCAGAAGCATTATTAATGTCCTGCTTGGGCAGAAAAGGGGAGAACACACAAGATGGGTTACACCAGGTAGCCAGTGGCGCCCACACAGGGCTGCTTGGCATTCTGAGCAGGGGTCTGGCTGGGGCAAGGGAACACTGGCTAGTTAGCACTGATCCAGCACAACCATCTTTGCCCAAGGAATGTCAAGCATTTCACCAGTGAAGTCCTCCAAGGCCAGTGCTGCCTCTAGCCGTGGCCCTCAGGTTCTCTCTTCCATGGAGTCAGTGGCAGGCCAACTGCCTACAGCCGTGGGAAAGGCTGCAGCCAGGTCAGAAACTAGCAGGAAGAGGATAGGGAATGGGAGCGGCCCCATCGACAGGTGTGTCTGGTGACCTTAGGCCTCTCTGATGACTATGAAGCCAGCAACACTTCTTCCTTTAGGTTGGGTGAGTTCCAGAAGGTTCCTTAAACTTCCACCAGAAGCAATGCTAAGAATTTGTCCCTAGTCAAGAATGGGGGAAATCTGAGACATCCCTTCCATGGCACCAAGGTAAATAAAATTTAACAAATCAATCAATATTTACTAATGTGTGCTGTATTTTTTCCGACACTAAGGAGTAGGTGAGACAGGAAGAAACAACACAAAAACGGACGAGGTGTGTGTTATCAGGAGGGAAGCAGCCCCCAGTAGGGGGCTTTGTCCAGAGGCCTGAGGGCACCCAGTAAGTGACCAGAGCTGGCCCTTTGCAGAAGAGCCAACCCTTGGCCGAGATGGAGGGGGACGAGCTGCTAAGCAGGCTGGGTGTGTCCGGGCATGTGTGAGGGCACAGAGTCCCCCCCGGCAGCAAGAGCTGGGATGTGCCAGGAGCACGGGTTTCCTGGAAGACGTTTAGGACACCTTCAACAACAGGCTGTCAGATGGGAGAGGGTGGGCAGAGAAGCTGAGCCCCAGGCAGGATCTTGCCACAGCATCCACTGTTTGCCTGCCCTTGAGTGTGGACGTGTGCAACCACCAGCCTTCTGTTGGGGGAGGTGCGCATTTTGCCAGGAGGAGTTTCAGTGGCACCCCAGAGGGCAGAGCCACTGGCTCAGAGGAACAAGGAGAAAGGCTTGAATCTCGAGGTCTTATGCACAGCAGTCTGCACGGGCTGACCACCACAGGGCTGTGCTGGGGAACGTGCAGCCTTCAAGACCAGTCATTTCGTGAGCCATCAACTCTTGATGTGCAAAGCTGCAACCTTTTCTAAACCCTACATGACCTACCTGCTCCTAACTTGTGACTGTTCCTCACAGGTGGAGGTGACTGCGGCCATCAAGCCTTCAATGGCAGCTTCTGAATGCCACCCCATGCCAGACTGCCACCTCCTCCCTCAGTCCAATCCACATGGCCAGGGCCTCGTCCTTGCGCCCATCTCAGCACTCAGTGAGTTTTAGGAGACCCAACAAGTTGGTTTTCAAAGGCACTAGCCGCAGAGTGACTTCTCTACCCCTTTCTCGTTCAAAATTGTCTCCACCAAATGATACAGTCCCTCAAAACTAAAGGCAGATTAATAATGCCTGACTTTAAACGGTTTTCAAAATGCAACAGGTAATGGAAGCGCTTGCAGGCAAGAGAAGAATAAGGAAGATGAAACTGCCCAGCCGGCTTTGGCAGGAGTTCCAGGCTCTGGAGAAAGGCACTTCCTCCTCACAGCACTGTAGAAGACACACACTGACCAAATGCACGGCTGCCCTGAAAAGTGCCTCCCCCAGCAACTTCGTCTCTCCATCCTTTATCCTGGCCGCCCAGACTAACAGAATGCTGAATCCAGCCATCACTGCCAATGCTGGCAGGTCAGCACCTGGGCATTTTTATTACTGAGACATTATGAGGTGCAAAGGACAATGGTCCCGGAATTAAAAACAAAAACATATTTGACCCTTGGTTTTGCCCCTAATTTACTGTGGTTAATAGGTAACCTTTTTGTTTCTTTCCTCCTCGGCAAAGTAGACAAGTTGAGCTAGACCTCTAGTCTCTAGGGGTCCCTTAGCAGTCTGAAGACTGACACTGAACAGGGATGTGGGCGAAGTTTCCTGCTGGGCAGACGGCTTTAGAAGAGAAAGCCTGTCCATAGCGTGCTCCCTCTGACATAAAAGGCTGCTCATGTTCAGCCAGAGCAAGTGAGAGCGACTTGGGCTCTGCAAACAGCCTGGAGGGCTATCCACAGAGAGAGAGAGAGCGAGAGCGCGCAGGCCTTCTCTGTGATCTTTTCTGGAGATAAAAAAAAGGCAGATATCCAATGTCTAAGGCAGGGGTCCTCACTACGGCCCGGGGCCACATGCGGCCCACCGAGGACATTTATCCAGCCTGCCGGGTGTTGTTGCCACCGCTGCCTGTCCTGCTTAGCAGCCGACTCGTCTAGTGTGCATAGGAATTGGTTCATAGTCTTTTAAAACTATAGTCCGTCCTGCAACAGTCTGAGGGACAATGAAATGGCCCCGTTTAAAAAGTTTGTGGACCCCTGGTCTAAGGTGACCCTAGGACCTTATCAGGGACTTCAATTTCTAGTCATTTTTTCTGGTGCTACATCAATATGTGGAATAAATTATGAACTGCCCTCAGCCAAGTACCTTGTCTTCTCAAAAAAAACCCAGGGAGCCTCATGAAGACGTCTCCAACAATTTTTTCTCCAGGACAAACAGAATAGTAAAAGTTTAAGCTTGGCTCATCCAATGTCCTGTAGGCAGGCAATCTGTTCCCTAAAACACTGACAGATTCAACAAACGCCGTCACAGGGGTCCCTGTGGAATGGAGACTGCCAACAGGCTCCAGGGAAGCAAAGCACACACCCCAGGGTGGGGCTGTCCCAGCAAAGGGCAGCAGCCAGCCGGGCAGAGAGAGCCAGGACTGCCCGCCTACTCACCGAGATGCCATCGCTCTCCTTCTTTAGCCACACCCACTCTGGGTGGGGGTAACCAACTGACTTGCAGTACATCATGGCGTCCTGCCCTTCGTTCTTGTTCTCGCTCCGCTTGTGGCCAGTGATTTCGGGTCTGGCTGTGAGGAAGAGTGTTCAACAGTTATTGAGGCTGCCTGATTTCAACCTGGATATCCAAAGGCCCCACCCCTACTGTCCTGGAGTCCCACTGCAGTCAGACTTTAGGGCCATCCCCATCTTAAGAGAGAAAGCATCTCGGGTCACCATCGGGAGTGCAACCAGCTACAGCTCTGACCGCCTGCCCGGAGCCCTGCCCAAGCAGCCAAGACCGCACCAGGGCTATTTAACACAGGAGGTGCCAATGAAGGGCATGCTCCCTGAGCCGCTGGGAGAGGGTGCAGGCCCATGTGCCCTAAATTAATAAGCTCTCCTTTAATTAGGGGCAATGCAAACAACTACTGTCTCCTATCAGTGAAGTTGAGTTGGTTGCTTTTTTTTCTTCCTTAAAACAACTGCACTAACAATGATTGTGGGTGGGGTCAGCTGTCACATGCTTCCTTCAGAAAATGAGAGATCTCTGAAACAAACGCCTCGAATCAAGTCCTTAGCAATGACTGTAAAACAATACTTAAGATGCGCTGCTGGACAGACAGACCTCCGTGATGAAAGCTTATCAAGTAATGAGAGAGGCTGTCTCAGGAACATGGTCTTCACAAGGGGCCAGGAGATCCAACAGTGGCCCAGGGGGGATTGATGTTAACAGCTAAAAGATGGGACTCAGACAGCTGCATAGGCAACACTGCAGTGAACCAAATTTTGGCGAAGTTTCTGCTGTTAGGGCTCACCTACAGAGAAATAAAGCGCACCTGTGGTCTAGAAAGTGGACCAGTTTCAAGGATCCAGGAAGCCTGGGTTATGGGCAAATTCTTTGAATGAAACCTTCTTTTCTCTTAACTATATTTTCCACCAGTTACAGTTATCTGAAAGCAATAAAACTCCAAAAAAGGTAGGCAGCATTTTATTAGCCAAGTCAGAAAGAATAAGTCTTGTCCAAATTCCAGCTCTGCAGGTTCTGTAACAATTCTGTGCATCAGTTCTACACCCACTACAACATGAAGGTAATTCTTGCCTCCGTCAGCCTTCCCGAGTTTGTGAATAAGATGTCAAGACATTCACTTTGTGACTATAATAAAAGCTTGTATAATTAAACCATACTGTATAACTGATTCTCTATCTACCTGCTTTGATTGCCTTGGCATTTCTCGGGTTCACAAACAAGCAAAGGTCCTGCTGGAATGGGTGTGACCTCATACCAACTCCACCAACAACCACGCCACACTGGGGCCTGCTAAGTACCACTGAGGGGGAGGGATTTTACTAGATAAAGTCGTGATGTTGCATACATTTCCCCAAGCAAAATTCTTCACATGAAGGAAGTGGGTCAACCTGGCTTTATGTTGTTCCCACCAAGCCACTCTTTTCCCACACTCGGATCACTTATTAGACCTAATGTCTGGCCTGGCCACCCTTCCTTGGAGCTTTCTGCAGGCAATGTGAATGGGAAGCCATCTGCAGTACCTCACAGAGCCAGCTCGGTGGCCACACACTCCCCAAGACAGCAGCATGGATGAGAAAGGGTACGCAAGAAGCAGAAAAACCATTACAGGTTGCCTCTCGTGTTTCATTCATTTGGAGAAACATGCTGAGCACCAGCCACATCTCAGACCCGCCATAGAGTATGGTTGGGAAAGGCCTTTCGGACGAGGTGGCCTTTAGCATCATTGTAAAGGAAACAAGACCATTCAAGATCTGCAGGAAGAACATTCTCGGCAGAGAGAGAGAGAGGCAAAAGCTTCAGGCAGGAGTAGGCTTATCTATAAGGAATAGCAAGTAGCACTGCGGGGATGCAGGCTGCCAGGAGATGACAACAAGAAGTCAAAGGGACTCAGGGCCCACATCATAGAGGCCGCTGTAAATGGCTTACATTCACTGCCACTGGAGAATACTGAGCAGAGGAGTGAAGTGATTTATTTATTTTAACAAGCTCTCTCTGGCTGCTACCTGGGCAAAGTCAATCGTGGGAGAGAGACAATAATGGAAGTAAACAGGTCTATTAGGAGGCAATTAGAGGAAAACAGGCAAGAGAGGACGAGTGAGACCAGGAGAGAAGCAGGAAGTGAGAGAGAAGCAGGAAGTGAGTGATAAGTAGTGAGACTCTGGATACAATGAGAAGATTGAGCTGATCTATGAGCTGATGGATTAGGAACTGTAAAAATGGAGTTGCCAGCCAATGACTAAGCTGAGACTACGAGGAGGAGGATCATTTTTTTCTGGCTTTAGTTTAGTTTTGTTTCCAGCTAGAGCAGTGGTGGTGGTAAAAATCAGATGAGATTTAGGACATGCTAACTTTTAGATCTTTATTTAATGTCCAAGTGAAATTGTCCAGAGGGCAGCTCAGGGTGAATATACAAATTCAGAAGCTTACTCTTCTCTTTTCATTTTCACGCTCTTTTCCCCCTCAAAGAGAACATCCACGCTGGCCCTGTTTTTTGACTAATTCCAATACGATGGTGACAAGCTGAACAGCGGCTTTTGCTTTGGGAACTCATCCCCAAGAGGAGACATTAGAACCACCTACCTAAGAAGCGAGCCGTGGGCTTAGCCCCTACAAATGCATCTTCCCAGAGACCCAGACTCCAAGCCCGGGGCTGGTCTTCACTCCCGGCTGGGTGTTTAGGACACGGTCTCTTTCTCTCCTCAGTTTGGCACTCCACAGAGATGAGAGCTCGGCCTCCAAGACAGTTTGTGTGGAAATGAAGCCCTTCCACCCAGGAGCGTGGCTAACCCCACCCCACGGGGCTGGCCCCGTTTAGAGGGTGAGCTGCTTTTTCCTTTATCTTCGCAGTTTAGAAATATCCCCTCTACCCGATGTCCTGTGAAGCAAGCCCTAGTTCACCTTTCTCAAAAACCACACTCAGTGCCATCAAGTCGACCTGGACTCTGAGCGACCCTCTAGGACAGATGAGGGCTGCCCCTGTGGGTGTCCGAGACAGTCGATCTTTAGGAGAGCAGAAAGCAGCAGGTGGTTTCAAACTACTGATCTTGAGGTAAGCAGCCCGTACAGAACGCACCTAGCCGCCAGAGCTCTAGCTACCCTTGGGGCATCACTAGGGGACTGGAGTAGCACCAGCCACATCGCCCGACCCCTGCAGGAATGGTTATACCAACGATCACTTTAGCCTTTGGTCAATGGAACAATTTTCACTTCTTGTTACCCTTTCTAGCCAATGATCATAAGAACATCTGCTCCTGTCCCACCAGCTTCAGGGCAGGGCGGGGCAGGGCAGGGCCACACAAGAAGGAAGGTGAGCAACCGCACTCTGACAGCGCTCAGAGGCTGTTGAGAGGCTGCCCCTTGAGGCTCAGAGTCAGCAATGTGAAAAGTTCTCACAAGCACACCAGCCTGTGCAATCACGAGGTGTCGAAGGGATCAGGTATAAGGCTTCATCAGAACAAAAAATCTTACCATAGTGAATGATGGGGGAGTGCGAAGTGGAGACCCAAAGCCCATGTGTAGGCCACTGGAGATCCTCTTGCAGAGGGGTCTCAGGGAGGAGATGAGCCAGTCAGGGCGCAATGTAGCAACAATGAAAAATACAACTTTCCTCTAGTTCCTAAATGTTTCCTACCCGCTCCCACTATCATGACACGAATTCTACCTTGCAAGTCTGGCTAGACCAGAGGATGAACACTGGTACAGATAGGAACTGGAAATACAGGGAATCCAGGGCGGATGATCCCTATGGGACCAGTAGTGTGAGTGGCGATACTGGGAGGGTGGAGGGAGAGTGGGTAGGAAAGAGGGAACTGATTACAAGGAACTGTATGTGACCTCTTCCCGAGGGGACGGACAGCGGGAAGTGAGTGAGGGGAGATGTCGGACAGGGCAAGATATGACAAAATAACAATTTATAAATTATCAAGGGCTCATGAGGGAGGGGGGAGCGGGGAAGGAGGGGAAAAATGAGGGCCTAATGCCAGGGGTTTAAGTGGAGAGGAAATGTTTTGAGAATGATGAGGGCAATGAATGTACAAATGTGCTTTACACAATTGATGTATGTATGGATTGTGATAAGAGTTGTATGTGCCCCTAATAAAATGATTAAAAAAAAAAAAAGAAAAGTTCTCACAAGTCCCCATGGCCTTTGATAATCCTTCATCTCAGGAAGTGGCACCTCAGGCCCCTCGCACAAAGGGTGGACTGGACTTTAAGGCTCTCCTGAACAAAGCAGGACGAAAGGTCCATGACTTTGGAGACTGGCCCCTATAGCCACTTGGACGTTTCCCTTGTCTCTCTATCGATGGCTTGCCCCAGGGGAGGTTAGCTACCAGGCCGCAGGGACCCTCAGTGCTGCAGAGGGGCGCACATGGTGAGGCATGGAGGTAACCTGCCCACAGCCAGAGGAGTGAGCTCTCTTGGAAGCAAATCTCCCTCAGCCTGGATGGGAATCTCATGAGAGACACTGAGCCAGAACCACCTCATTCGGCTGCTCCCTCAGCTCCTGACCCGTAGACACTGAAGTGATAAACACTAGCTGGGGCATGTTAACTCTGCAGAAGCAAATAACAAATATACTGCCCAAGGTGACCCCGTTTTTATAGATGTGTCAAAGCTATTTAAAACCTGAAATTCCACTGCTCGTAGATGGTAAAGCTAGGATCCACACTCTGCCTCCAGAGGCTCTGCTTTTTGTAGTTCTCTCAACAAGGGAGGAGAGAGGAGATCAAACTGGAGCAGGGTCCACAGGACTTACACTCAATAGTGCAGGTCGGGGAGAGTCACACGGAGCAGACTGCCCAAAGGTTCTTTTTCCTTGCAGGTGGACTAGGACACCTTCAACCAAAGGTGGGGCTGACGGATGGCTCGGAGAGTTTACTCCACACAGTGTAAAGAAAAGAGCTTTGGGCTAGAAATCTATCATTCACCAACTGAGGAGGCTGAGGTAGGTCATTTAAAAACCCTTTACAAATTTGTTTTCACTTTTACAAACTAACTGCAGGGTCGGTGGTTCAAACCCACCAGCAACTCCACAGGAGAAAGAGGAGACTGGATGCTCCT